AAAAAAAACTAACATCATGGCCACTGGTCCCATCACCTCCTGGCAAATAGAAGGGGAAGATATGGAGGCAGTGACAGATTTTACTTTTTTGGGCTCCATGATCACTGCAGATGGTGACAGCAGCCATGAAATTAAAAGACACCTGCTTCTTGGGAGGAAAGTGATGACAAACCCAGACAGCATCTTAAAAAGCAGAGACATCACCTTGCTGACAAAGGTCCTCATAGTCAAAGCTATGGTTTTTCCAGTAGTGATGTACGGAAGTGATAGCTGAACCATAAAGAAAGCTGACCGCCGAAGAATTGATGCTTTTGCTGGAGGAGACTCTTGAGAGACCCCTGGACTGCAAGGAGAATAAACCTATAAATTCTAAAGGAAATCAACCCTGAGTGCTCACTGGAAGGACAGATCCTGAAGCTGAGGCTCCAGTACTTTGGCCATCTCACGAGAAGAGAAGACTCCCTAGAAAAGACCCTGATGTTGGGAAAGTGTGAAGTCAAGAGGAGAAGGGGACGACAGAGGATGAGATGGTTGGACAGTGTCATCGAAGCTACCAACATGAGTTTGACCAAACTCTGAGAGGCAGTGGAAGACAGGAGGGCCTGGTGTGCTCTGGTCCATGGGGTCACGAAGAGTCGGACAGGACTTGACGACTAAAGAACCTTAACAACTAAACACCTTCTGTGCTAAATGGTCCTTATTCCAACTACACAGGCACTGGAGCCTTATTTCTTCCTTTAAAAACAGTAGAATTTGAATTAAATACATGTTGATGCCATGATTGGGACTAAAATATTTTATGAAGATACTTCTGGATCAATAGAATACTGCCTGCACTATACATGACCAGAGTTCTACGACATGGACAGAAATGATAAGAATGTTCTTACTTTAACTTTATTTTCCATTTCTTTGTGCTCCTGACATAGCTCTTCATTTTCTTTTAAAGACGACCCAAGGTTTTGCTTATGGAAATAATCTTTGATAGTCTTCTTGTACCAAGAGGTTATCTGAAAATAGAAATAATATTTTTCACGAATAAACATTTTATAGGAGGAAAAATAATGGGCTACATCCAACACAGAATTTTCTTATCTTCTCCTTCCCACTGCCACCTGCCATGTCCCCGCAAAATCAGCTCCACATGATCCTCTAACTATCTGAAGTAAATTAATACACTGAGGAGGATCCACTCTGGAGATGCATGCTTGCCAATATACTGACACAACTTGATTTCTCACACTGGTTGAAATATTCTCGGTATTGTAGCCCATCCTGAAATGTAGTTTTTTTTCCACACTCCTTCAAAGCCTGAGGTTCATTTATGCTTTTAAGTAAACAACACACATGGACAGGCACACACATGCAAAGCCCTGTGCCTTGTTTTAGAAGAAAACAATCCC